AAAATTAAAAACTACAAAAAAAAAAAAAACATGTCTTGCAAATATTCTCTCCCATTCTGTGTATTGTCTTTTCCCTTTCTTGGTAAGTGTCCTTAGATGCACAAAAGTTTTAAATTTTGATAAAGTCTGATTCATGTATTTTTTGTCTTTGGCTACTTGTGTTTTTGGTGTCATATCTAAAAGGCCATTGCCAAACCCAAGGTCATGAAGATTTACTCCTTTTTTTTTTCTTAGAGCATTATGGTTTTAACCTTTATATTTAGGTCTTTGATGCATTTGATCATATGTGGTGTGAGGTAGAGGTCCAACTTCATTCTTTTGCATGTGGACATCCAGTCATCTCAGCACCATTTGTGGAAGAGACTATCATTTCCCTGTTGAATGACCTTGGTACCCTTGTTGAAAATCCGTTGCCCATATTTCTAGACTCTCAATTTTATTTCATTGATCTGCATGTCTATCCTTAGGTCAATACCACACTGTTTCGATTGTTGTAGCTTTTTCCTTAAATATTTATTTATTTATTTTAGAGAGAGAGAGCATGCTGAGGGGAAGGGCAGAGGGAGAGGGAGAGAAAAACTCAAGCAGACTCTGTGCTGAGTGTGGAGCCTGATGTGGGGCTCAATCTCACGATTCTGAGATCTCATGACCCTGAGATCACCACCGGAGCCAAAACCAAGAGTTGGACGCTTAACTAACTGTGCCACCCAGGCGCCCCTTGATTGTTATAGCTTTATAGTAAGTTTTGAAACTGGAAAGAGTTCTCTAACTTTGTCTTCTTTTTCAAGATTGTTTTAGCTATTTTGGGTTCTCTGGGATGGTTTTTTCTACTTCTAAGAAAAAAGGCCATTGGAATTTTGATATGGATTGTATTGAATCTATACATTGCTTTGGGCAGTATTGCCATCTTAGTAATATTAAGTCTTCCAATCCATGAACATGTCTTTCCATTTATTTAGGTCTTCTTTAATTTTCTGCAATTTTTTTGTTTTTGTTTTTTTAGTTTTCAGTGAACAACTCATCTCCTTGGTTAAATTTATTCCTCAGTATTTTATTATTTGTGATGATATTTAAGTGGAATTATTTTCTTCATTTCCTTTTTGGAGAGTTCATTGTATGTATAGAGAAATACAAGTGACGTTTGTTGATCTTGTTCCCTGCAGCTTTGCTGAATTTGTGTATTAGCTTTAATAGTTTGTGTGTGTGTGTGTGTGTGTGTGTGTGTGTGTGTATTCTTGGGGATTTTCTATATATAGGATTTTGTCATCTGCTAATAGAAAGTTTTACTGCTTTCTTTCCAATTTTTCCTTTGGTTTTCTTTTCTTGTCTAGAACTTCCAGTACAATGTAGAATAGCCATGGTGAAAATAGGCATTCTTGTCTTGTTCCTGATCTTAGGGGAAAACTTCCAGTTTTTTAACCATTGAATATGATGTTAGCTCTGGGTTTTTCATAAATGCCCTTTATCATGTTGAGGAAGTTAGCCCCTAGTCTGACTTTGCTGTTTTTTTTTTTTTAAAGATTTTATTTATTTATTTGACACAGAAAGAGATAGCAAGAGCAGGAACACAAGCAGGGGGAGTGGGAGAGGGAGAAGCTGGCTTTCCGTCGAGCAGGGAGCCCGATGTGGGGTTCGATCCCAGAACCCTGGGATCATGACCTGAGCCAAAGGCAGATGCTTAACGACTGAGCCACCCAGGAGCCCCCTTTGCTGATGTTTTTATCATGAAAGGGTGTTGGATTTTGTCAAATCCTCTTTCTGTGTCAGCTGAGATGATCATGTGAGGGTTTTTTTCCTTTAATCAATGTAGTGTATTATACTGATTGGTTTCTTATGTTGAACTGCCCTTGCATTCCTGGGATAAATCCCACTTGGTGGGAGCATGTGTATAACCCTTTTGATATGCTGTTGGATTTTGTTTGCTGATATTGTGTTGAGGGGTTTTACATTTATATTCATAAGGGATAATGGTCTATAGTTTTCTTTTCTTGTGATGTCTTTGTTTGGCTTTGGTATAGTGCCAGGCACACAGAGTAAGTTAGAAAGTGTTTCCCTCCTCTTCATGTTTTGGAAGTTAGAGAAGGATTGGTATTAATTCTTTTTAAATGTTTAGTAGAATTCACCAGTGAAACCATCTGGTCCTGGACTTTTCTTTGCTGGGAGATTTTTGAGGACTGATTCAGATTCTTTACTTATTATTTTCTATTTCTTCTTCAATCAGTTTGGTAACTTGTGTGTTTCTAGGAATTTGTCCATTTCATCTATTTTGTCTAATTTCTTGACACACAATTGCTCATAGTATTGTTTTATAATCCTTTTTATTTCTGTAAGGTCAGTAGTAATGTCCTCATTTTCATTTCTGATTTTAGTAATTTGAGTCTCCTCTATTTTTTTCCTAATCAGTCTAGCAAAAGGTTTGTCAATTTTACTGATTGTTTCAAAGAATCAACTTTTAGTTTCACTGATTTTTTGCTATCGTTTTTCTATTCTCTATTTCATTTATCTCAACTCTGATATTTATTGTTTCCTTCTTTCTGCTAGCTTTGGTTTAGTCTGATCTTCTTAATCTAGTTCCTTAAGATGGAAGGTTTGGTTATTGATTTGAGATTTTCTGTCTTTTTAAATGCATATTTTATAGCTATAAATTTCCCTCTGAGCACTGCTTTTGCTGTATCCCATAAATTTTGGTATGTTGTGTTTTCATTTTCATCCATCTCAAAGTATTGTCTAATTTCCCTTGTGATTTCATCTTTGAATCATGGGTTGTTCAAGAGTGTTTTGTTTAATTTCTACATATTTGTGAATTTTCTAATGTTTCTTCTGTAATTGAGTTCTAGCTTCATTTCACTATAGTTAGAAAAGATACTTTGTATGATTTCAATCTTCTTAAATCTATTGAGACTTGTTTTGTGGCCTAACATTTAGTGTTTCATGGAGAATTTTTCACATGCACTTGAGAAGAATGCATGTGTTCTGCTTTGTTGAGTGAGTGTTCTGTATATGTCTGTTAAGTCTAGTTCGTTTATGGCACCCAAGAGTTGTAAGCAGTGCAGTTATATGATTAATGCCCATTTTTTAATATGTCATTCTGCCTGCGGTTTGGAGAACTGACTGGAAACAGGAAGACAGTGAGGAGGTTGTTGCAGACATCCAGCTAAGGGGATGGTGCCTGGACTGGGGGGTGGCAGAAAAGCTGAAGAGTAGCAGATGTTTTCAAGAAGTAAGTAGAGGTAGGAAGTAGGCTTCCTGCTAGATTAGAGATGGTCCACAGTCTAAAAGGGACAGATAGGCCCCGGGATGACCTGCAGGGGGTCTGTCTGGAGTGCCCTTGACCTAGCTTGGTCGCTATCAGCCAGAGTCAAGGAGAACCACACCAGACTGCCTTCCCTCATTCAGGGTTACCTGAAACTGACTCCATGTGAAAAGTTGCAAACCACAACTCTCCAACATCAGCCTGAGAATGGTGGGAGAAGGGTGTTGCTTTGCAGAGAATGCTACTACAAGACCTATTTTTCAGGAAATAATCAACCTTTCTATACAAGCACAATACCTTCCTGAAGGCTTCTCTTTCACATACATTAGTTCATTTATGTTTCAAAATATCCAAAGGAGAGGAATCCATTCCTCATCAACATATAGCAAGTGCTACCTTGAATTGTACCCGAATGTTTGTCCTGTGTCTTTACCTGGGAGGCTAACCCCTGGGGACACAAGACATGTGCTGTGTCTCCAGCCCCTGACTATGTCAAGGGGTATGAAAGGAAGGAAGGTGAGCCTGAGGCAACTCCCTCTGGGGTCCCAACATCTCCTAGAAGAAGTCCAGGCTTCACAATTCCTAGCACTGCCCAGCTGAGTTAACAAGCATTCACCATAGTGGCTTTCCATAGGCCTCCAAACAGAGCGCACAGGTCCTACTGGGGGTCTCGGCATAGCCCTTGCCTGAGATGGCCCCAACATCCTCCTTCACAGGAAAGGGGGTGGTACCCTGGGGACCCCTTGCCAAGCTCAGCATCACTGTTGACACACCAGAGTCACATGAGTGCTGACCTCAAGGAAGAGTCACCGGGTCAGGGGGGGATCCATGCTCCAAACGTGTGAGACCAAAAGAAAAGGTCAGACCGATATTCAGTGACCTTCAATGTGCACTGAGAAGCTAGTACTGGGGGAGACCCCAACACAATGAGACTAGGTATGGGGCATGGTGACTGGTATCATAGACCCTCTCATCCTGCTTTGTGCTAGAGCTCCTTCCACAGGACTCCCTGTCTCCCCAACCAGCTTGTGTGATAATCCTGGAGAGCAGAGCCTGTGACTCATTCTCACCTGGAGCCCTGCTTTGCTAACAGAACTCCACATAGGTCTAAGGAAACACACACCATTTTGTGTTAGCTTCAGAAGAATCACAGCTTCCCAATCTTTCCTGCTCGTGTGTGTGTAGACCTAGTTTTCACCCGACAGAAACATGTGCTCTCACTCTGGGTGGACAAGACAGTGGAGGCAGGCATTCTCACACACTGCTACAGGCATCTGATCGTATAACCCCTATGGAGGGCCGCTTGACAATCTCTCAGAATTATAAATGCACACTTCTGTTAACCCAGCCACCCCGCCCCCTGGAACGTATACTTCATTTATACTTCTGCAAATGTGAAATGAAATTGCAGCACAGTGTGTCATAACAAAATAAACAACCTAAATGTTCATCAACAGACGCTGGGTTAAATAAACTATGATACATCCGTACAACAAAGCGCTAGACTGTTGTAAAAACAAGGAGGAAGTTTCTTACGTACTGATAGGGAAAAAAATTCTAAAATATATTGCTAAATGGAAAGAAAGCAAGGTGGAAGACTGCATTTAGTTTAAAATAAGTACCAATTTTAATATATACGTAAAAGACACAAGGTAGCTCTGGTTGCCTCTGGGAGGGATCACAGGGTGGGTGTGGCTGGGAACAAGAGTCACGGGCAGGAGTCACTGCATGTGCTTTTGAAACTGTTGGCTTATGAATCATATAAAGACATTACATATTAAGAAAGTGACTGCATTAAAGTAAACACTTAAATGTCTTGCCCAGGATATCTGAGCTGGCCTTCCACCTCAGCAAAGGCAGCATCTCTGGCTAAATGGTTTTTCAGTCTCCATAATGGGCCTGGGAAAAAGTCTGGCCCCAGGGACAGGTGCACAATCCTGGACTCCCACCCCTGCTGCTGCCTCTGGATCTCACCCACTGCAGCATCTGAAGGGTCTGCTGAAGTCCAGGAACCAGACTTGTCCAAAGAAAAACACACACAACCCTGCTCACCACAAATATTTCTATCCCAAGAACTGCCAGCCAACCTTGACCACCTAAGGTCATTGCTGAGGACACATGGAGCTGAATAGGAAGGGTGAACACATACCTCTACCTTCCAGGGTTGGTCTGGACTAGCCTGGGTCTCCTGGTCACCACCACACCCAAACGCTTTCAATTCCCACTCTCTCCAGACCCACGACACTGTGTGTATACCCGTCACTGAGGGCTCACTACCTGAGTGGCTGCTCATCATGTGGACAGCCTTGGCCTTGGCCAGCTCCAGGGCGGTGATCCACTGCTGCCGCTCCACCTCCGAGCTGGCCTTGAGGTGGTAGGTCCTTGCCCCACTGGTTAGCACGATACCGCAAGAGTCCTCCGTGTCAAAGTGCGCGGTGGACAGGTTGATGGTGCCACGGCAGGTGTGGGCCATTTCACCCTGATTTCTGTAGGATGCAAGAGAAGGTATGGGGTGAGGCTCCCAAACTCAATAGCTCTAGACTGAAGAAAGCCTCAAGGCAAATCCTCAGAATCTCAGACCCTTTGAGCTGGAGAGACCCTGGAGTCGGAGCTAGGAGATAATGCCTGGTGGGACTGACTGGAAGGGGCTTGGCTGAGGGGTGCTCAGTGGGGAGATGGCAAGAGGGAGGAGGGCCTGCATCAGTGCCAAATGCAGGGTATGCCTGCGGTGGGCTGAGCCCTTGCAGACACCAGGAAATGGAGAAGGCTGACCGTCTAGGGTCCTGCGAGGCAGCGTAGACATCTAACTCCATCCCAGCCTCCTTCCACTAAGCCTCAGAACCACAGAGTTGGAGCAGGATGGGAATCTGCCACTGAAAATGAGATTAGGGACTTGGAACCTCAGGGGGTGAACTTGGAGGTACCGCCTAGCAGGAGTGACCTGGCAACAGAGATCTGCAGGGCAAGGATGCCACCACACCAAATGAGAAGAAGTTAATGGCTGGCCTAACGCAGGGTGACCTCATGACAGGGACTGACCCTTTGTCGGTTATAAGATTGTGGAGCTAATGGTACCAAAGTAAGGGGAAGCAGAGGTGATTGAAGTGTGGGCCATTTCCAGCTGTGACCAAAGTCTGAAAATGGAGATGCAACCATCATGACTGGATCTACTTAACTCACTCCTTCACACACTGAAAGGAAATTCAGAACCCTCACAACATACCAAATTTCCTTCCACAGAGAGGGTTGGAAAAGGAAGAGCCATTGGTCAGCACATAACACTGCCAGTGGCAGGAGCTCGTTCGGCAATTCTTTTTTTTTTTTTCGTCTTTTTGTTGTTGTTGTTTGGCAATTCTGCTGGCCTCTGATGCTTCTTCATTTCCCCTGGTTGTTCCTCATCTGCTATTTTCTTGATTCTTCTACCAGTTCTATTTTCTTTTTTTTCTTTTTCTTTCTTCTTTTTTTTAAAGATTTATTTTTTTATTTATTTGACAGAGAGAGAGAGACAGCGAGAGAGGGAACACAAGCAGGGGAAGTGGGAGAGGGAGAAGCAGGCTTCCCGCTCCATCTCACAACCTTGAGATCATGACCTGAGCCAACATCAAGAGTCAGATGCTTAACCCACTGAGGCACCCCTCTTCTACCAGTTCAAAAGTCAAATGACTTGACACTCGGGAAGACATTCAGCTTTCATGTGAACAGTGGCCGCCTTTTCCAGTTCCCTCCTGCTTTGGTTACATTCCTTGGAGAAGATGATGTAGTTTATATCTGAGGAAAGGTCCAGCTCATAGGTGCTGATGTCTTCCACTTGAAGGAGACTCCTAATTTATAAAATTACTGGCAAGGTTGGGCATGCCTGTTGGAAGCCTGCCCTTTTAGATTCAAGGGCTTTCAGGCTAGAGACTGTTCCAGTATTAAACAGTCTAGTAATTAACCAAAAATGCCACTGCGGCTCAGCTCAAAAAAGAGAGGAGGGTGACTGTCCTAGACAGAAGGAACAGAAAGGGCAAAGACCATGACGCCAAGTGGAGTTTACAGCTTTCAGAGAATAGGAAAAACTTACGTGTGGCTGGAGCATTGAGAACAACAGAGTGAATGAGAAAAAGATGAAGCTAGAAAATTGTGTAGGGACCAAATGTATTGCCTTCCGGTGATGCTAAGGATTTAGACTTTTGTCTCAAAACAAAAACAATGGGCTTGCTGGGCCTCATGTCAAGAAAGGAGCAGGGGTGGCCAAGAGTTACAGAAACTCCTTTGGAAAATGGGGAATAGAAGTATCTGGAGTGAGACGGTATATGGAAGCCTGGCCACTGTGTGGCACGAGGGCTGGGCTGGAAGTTATCTAGTGGCTATTGTTTTGGATTACAACCTAGTGACTAAAATAAATACCCCTGAGTCCATGCTGATGTAAGTAAATAGTCGAAGGATAAATGAATGCGGGAGAAAGGACAGATCTTCCTTAATAAAAGTAGATGTGATCATAGAAATAGAAAATCACTGAATGCAATGTGGGATTCTGCACTGGATTATAAAATTAAAAAAAAAAGACATTAGAGAAAAACTTGTGAAATATGAATAAAGTCAGAGGTTTAGTTAATAGTATCATACAACGTTAATTTTCCACTTTTGACAATTTTACTTTGCTGAGATAAGATGTTAACATTAGGGGAAGCTAGATGAAGGGTATGTGAGAACTCTCTGAACTTGCAACTTTTCTGTAAGTCTAAGTTTTTTTTCTTTTCTTTCTTTTACTTCTTGTTAGTAGTAGATCACCAGTTTATTATAAAAGTACACAACTCAGGAACAGCCAGATGGAAGAGATACATAGAATAAGGTATGGGGAAATGGTATGGGGCTTCCACGTTCTCTGAGTGTGCCACTGTCCCCAAATCTCCACATGTTTACCAACCTGGAAATTCTCCAAACTGTGGTCTAAGTTACTTCAAAATTAAAAATAATTCCTATTAATGCTGCCATCACACTCTGCCCAGGACCATAGCTGATATGAAATCTTGTATCCAGAACCAAGAATTCACTTGCCCTCAGGATCAGGGACAGGGTTGGAGATATTCCCAATGTCACTGAAGGACAGAAGCCCTAAGTCCCCATCATAACATCTGGTTCTGGACTAGGCTTTATAAAGAGTGAGGCGAAGGCACTTTAAAAATCACTAGAAAAAGAAGAGTAGAGTGGTGGGTAAGGCTCAGGGAGGGAGGGAGAATCTCCCAGTCAAGACAAACTGAAAACCAAAATTCAAAACCCATGAAGGAAATCAATGCTAACAAAGAAAACAACAAAGTCAAATGCTTAGCAGATGAATCACTTCAGACAAAAATGGATCTATCAGAATAATATTTTTTAAATGAACATAAATAGGCTTAATATTCTTAAAGATGAAGGAATAGCATCAATAAAGAGCAATAATTTGTGAAACAAAACCTGGTAAAAACAAAACAAGAACAGGTAGACATGAAAAAGTAACAAGAGAATTTCAGCAAATGAAAATGTAGCAGATAAACTTTACCAGCAAATTTAACCATCTAAATTTAACCTCAACTCTTTGTAACTAGAGTTACTTTTCATTAAAAGACTTGAGAAGATTCATTTTTCAGTTTTACTTTTCTGCATTATTGGAAGAAATTATATAGAGGCACATGTGAATTTAGGAATTAAAGGCCCACTAAAATCATCAAGGTCCAATACATTTGCTTGTCTTGGAATTTAACTCTGTTCTTTTTTCTTTCACTTAGATGTTTTGTGGTCAATCCATTCTCCACCAGTAGCCAAAGTGATATTTTTTGTCCTGTTACTCAGTTTTTTAAAAATTTCAGTGCCTTCAAAGTAAGTCCCAAAAGGGTCTAAAATTCAGGGAGGGACATTTCCTAAAATTCAGGTTGCTTTCTGGGAGTGGTACACCTACCCATGTTGCATATAAAAGTTTTTGTTTCTCCCATTGTGAGTTCTGACTGAGGCAACCCTTTCTATGAGAGCTGACCTTCCAGGACCATCCACCAGCCCAGATGGTGGAAAAGTTAAAGCCCCACTCATAGCACACTGTGGACTTGGGTCTGCAAGCTGCAGTGGCAACTCCTGTCCTACCTGCCCTGGGACACGAGCTTTGGAGGTGTGCAACAACCTCGAACCATCTATTCTCATCGAACCCTGAGTGTCCTCAGTGCCTCGAGACAAACCAGGCCATGTCCTAGGGCCTGCCGGTTATGTCAGAGCTCATATCCAGCACACGTGATCATTTATCTTCTGCCAGTTTTTAAAAGAAACACGTTCTGTGGCATTACTTTACATTTGGTGGATATTTGAAGTACTTAGAACAAGTAGAGACAAAATATGGAACACCTGCCATAAACATAACTGTAAGAGAGGTTAACCATAACTAACATCATTCTAAGTGAGTCACACTGACTCTCAACCAAATAATATTCATCCAGTTCTGATGGCCAATGTCCTTGTCAGAGATGAGAATATGACACCAGCTATCAGAACTTGGAAGCCTGTAATAGTTAATGTAGCATTTGGCTAGTGACTAACCCAACCCACCTGTATGGAATAACAAACCTTATGCGCCAGCTCAGAGTCCCCTCACCACCTCTTCTCTTACCTCTCTTGGTATACCATTTGGCTTGAGTAGCCCCTCCATTTCTGGGCTTGGAAGGGATGCTAGTCTCAGAGTATGGGATCTGGCTTCCTGATTGGCCATCAAGAGACTGGATTTTTGCAACCCACTAATGTGAAAAGGTTAGCACCTCACAGGCTGAACAATGACCAGTGGGAAGTGGGAAATGGATGGGAAGGTAAATTCTCCTCATTTTCCCCCTCAGGGGACCTTTCCAAAGCACGTTATATCCTTGCAAACCTTCTGGAGAAGTCCATAAGCCCAGAGAACATGAGTAGTCTCTGTAACACTTGCAGTTTGCTGTGAAGTGGTGGCCAGCCCATTAAAATCTCACATCACTTTGCATCTTTCCCTGGCCTTTCTTTACCTTTTTGCCTCCACATCACCAAGGATCATCTTGCTGAGTGTCCAACCTGCCATGGCAGCAGGAGGGACCGACACTAAACCTCCATGGCATGACCCACTCCTTGGAAAAAACAAGACAGCCACCAACTAGTTTAGACCACTTTTACCTTGGGAGAGTGGGAATTGAGCGATTTTTCCTTACTGGAATCAATGTGTTTTCTGGTAATGGGGTTGCCTTCAGCAGCACTATGGTCCAACAGTTATTGAATCCTCATTTGCTGGCCTGGATTCTCATATGACACAGCCTCAGACTAAGTCACCCATTTCAACCAAGGAAGTGAACCAATGACTCCTGACGGGAGTTCGCTGATCTCACTGTGAAACCCTGTTGTCACTCAGGAGGAGCCAACCTGACAGAAGAAAGGAATGGCCTATTGAAGGCTCAGCTGGGACGTCTACTGAAGAGATGTATTATGTGCTTGAGGGACTATCCTCCAAGATGAAGTATAT